ATGTTTGCCCACATTTTCTCCAAAGAATTTTATAATTTTAGATCTTAGGTTTAGGTCTTTGATCCATTTTGAGTTAATTTTTGTATCTGATGTGAAGTAAGGCTCACAGAACTCAGGGAAATACTTGACATTTAATTTTAAAATACATTACAAGGGATACAGATATACAGCCAAGTGAAAGAGGTATATGAAAAAGTATGGAGGAAATGGCATGAAATGTTTATGTCTTCTTCACAATCCTCCCCAACTCCCCACAATCCTCCAAGGACCTCCACATATTCAGCAGTGTAGAAGATCTCTGAATCCTGTGGCTCAGGGATTTTTATGGATACTTCATATCTTAGTCTATTTTCTATTGCTATAACAAAATACCTGTGACCCGATGATTTATAAAGAAAAGGGGTTTGTTTGGGCTGGTGGTTCTGGAGGTTGGGAATTCCAAGAGCATGGTGTCAGTTGTGGGAGGCCATCCGCGCACGTGATTTGAGTTAGCTCCCTGGCTAGGCGAGAGGCGCTTAGGCACATCTTATGTCCAGAGCTTTCCCCACCCTTCTCAGATCCAAGGGCTTGTCCATGTGGAGGCATGTCTGACCACTGCCCGAAGACCCAATCGTCGCCTCTGACCTTGGGATGCTGCCCCCTTTAATCTTCATTGGATGGGATTTTCTCCAGAATTTTTTATTCCCCAATAAAAGTCAACTCCCTGGCGTGTTCTCTCTCTCTCTCTCTCTCTCTCTCTCTCTCTCTCTCCTCTTCAGTAAACCTCGATACCACAATAGGTGGCTGGCTGGCTGGAGGCTGGAGCTAGGAGGAGCCATCCTGGAGCTGGTTTAAAGGTAATTAGAGTCTTGTCTCTTTAATTCAAAACTCCCTAGCGGTTTCTCATGTTTTGAACTTTCATTCATGAAGCAGGCGCTGGTCAAGGGCTAAAGTCAATGATGGACTCATGCTGCTTCAACTAATGGCAGAAAGCAGAAAACAGAAGGGCAAGCTGGCCCAGGGCAAGCTGAAGGGTAGCTTTACTTTGTACAACACATTCTCATAGTAACTAATTCAGTCTCCCAAGAGTGAAAACTTGATCTTGTAAAAAAATGTTAATCCATTTATGAAGGCTGTGCTCCTGTGATCCAAATATTCCCAATGCTAGTGCACTGAGGAAATCAGCTGGCAATTTTATTGAGAATTACTTGTGTATGATAAGTCACTTCTCTATTATTGCTTTCAAGATTCTCTCTTTATCTTTTGAAAATTCAATTATCTTATGTTTTGGTGAAGGTATCTCTGATTTTTAACTTAGAGTTCGTTGAGGTTTTGGGGTGTTTATAATCATTTCTCATAAATTTGGGGAAGTGTGTGGCCATTACTTCTCCCATTATTGAGCCCCTTCCTCTCTGCTCCTTCTGGACTCCTACAGTGCATAAGTTGGTTGACTTGATAGTGCACCACATGCCCCTTAGACTCTGTTCRCTTTTCTTCTTCTTTTTTCTATTTCTTAGACTCAATTTTCATTATCCTGCCTTTCAGGCCACTGTTTGTTTCTTCAGTCTGATTAAATCTGCCTTTGAATCACTTTAGTGAATTTTAAAAATTTCAATTATTGGGTTTTTTAGTTCCAGATTTTCTCTTTGGTTTCCTTTTAGGTTCTCTCTCTCTTTATTGATGTTTCCACTGTGCTCATACATGATTTTTTTTTTTTTAGTTTATCCACATCTTCCTTTAGTTCTTTGAGTATCTTTAACATAATTGTTTTAAACTGGTTTAAAGCAGAAATCAATGATCAGAATCCATATCCTAGATATTTGGAGGACAGGGTCATTTTTGTCCACTGTGGCTCCTGCTAGCTTTGTGCAGGGTTCTCCAGGAACACATGATCAACTACCTTTYATAGGACTGAGGGTGAAAATGGGTAGTTGCTACTGTGATAATAGCTTTAATTGATACAATTACGTAATTTATCATCTAAGGCTTCTCTTGCAAGTTTCAAGCCTTCTGAAGGCTCCAGAATTACAAAACTGTTAGATCAGTCAGATTTTACTAATTTATCTCTAGTCTAGGCTGGAAGACATATTCTGGTGTTTTTTACTCCATCATCTTCCCAGAATCCTAAAAAGTGTTTTTTCATACCATATATACAAACAGAGATTTGATAAATCGTGGTATAAAGGTGTATTRAGAATTGTAATGCAAAAAAATTATAAATGTAATGCACTCCACTATTGTCATGTATGTAAAAAATAATAAAAAATCATAAATGGCCTATTTGCCTATGGAAGGGAGGTAACATTTTCTTCCACCATYCTAAAGTCTCCGATTGGCACTGATATAAAAAAAAAAAGTTTACACATTTTAATACTTTTTTTTTTTTTTTTACGTGTACCCAGGAGGCCTCACAGGAAAATGAACACCCAAAGAAGTAGTTAGACCTGAATGCTTATATACTAGACTGKGCAAAGAACAGTAAATTGGGAACATGTGACAAGAGGTTGTGCTAGACTAGTTAAYTGTAGAGAAGTGACTAGGAATATAAGGGTTAAAAAGATTTACTTGTGTATATTTCACAATTTCGGTCAGCCTTAACTTCCCATCTCTGGTGATAAAAATGTCTCTTTCCTCTTGGTACAGTGAGGTCATCTTTCACATGGGAATTTCATCTCCTGCCTTCAGGGAGAAAAAAAGGCCAGCGTGCCTTTCTTCTATTTAATGGCTTTAGGTGCCTTTAACAAAATAATCCATATGCCAGAGTATTTGTTTTGAGGTGATATGTTTAGAAGTCCTTCACCTACACAGTATATAAGTTCTTGTTCTCTCTTTTAAGTTCWTTAATATTTTGAAGGCAATTTAAAAAAAAATTTAAAAGACTTTTCCCCTCACAGATGTGAGTGACTAGTGAAAATCAGATAGAAGTCATTGGATGCAGCTTGCAGGAAAAATCTTCAAAGGTGCTGGCTCTGCTGGTGGRTGAGCCTATCACCCTTACCTCTGTCTCCTTCTGCTGCCTGAGACAAGACTTGAACACAGAGACTAGAAAGATCCTCTTGTACCACAGCCAATTGAAGGCCAGAATGTGGGATGGCAGAGCCAAAGGATGAAGGTATCCACGTACATGATGACTGTGGATCTACCACCCTGGGATGCTTTAACTGTGTGGTGTGAAGTGATAAATACAATCAATACGAGTGTAAGTTATAGGTTATAGATTACTAAAAAATATAGATTACAGATATAAGATTTTGATAAGTGAGATAAGACAATTATAAAGCAAGAACTGTCGAAGGTCTAAGACTCCATTTTGCTGCCTTCTATTAAAAAAAAACTATTACAAGAGCTGTTTCTGAGAAACTGAAATGAAAGTTGTTTTCTTATAATATATTGTTTTATGTACTTCGTACCCCACAAAATGTAATCAACCCAGGAAGGATATGGTGGTCTTGGTGACCCAAGACTTTGAAGTAGATTCTCACCTGGCTAATGACCTGCTGGAACTCAAGATAAGGTTGTCTAACACCTGCTCAAATCCAAGATGCGATTGTCTTGAGTTGTTGTGCTAATTGCTGTCTTAATCTTCTGTGACTGGCTTGCTTGCATGACGCTAAGAGAAGTCCCTAAGCTAYAGTTTTTGTCCTTAAATTCCCAAGACACAGGCCAGGAAGTTGCTTTTCTCCCACAGAGCTTCAGTCTCAATGGGTGGGAGACAGTTCCTGGCCAGGTAAATAAAGCTCTCTTTGGTTTGAATTAGGACATAAGAGTATTTTCTAAAGTATTTTCTAAAGCAGCTCCCCATAACAAAACCAAACTTTAGTTTTAGATATTTCCCCTTAAGAAGCCATAAGTCCCACAGTCTCTGCCTGTTAACTCGCAATCTTGGCTGCTTTGAGAATAATGTGGGGTATTTTAAAACATACTAAGGCTTGGGCCTCACCTTCCAAGTGTCTGATTTTACTGATTCGTTCCCTAAACACTGACTTTGTAAAAGCTGCCCCTAGTGATTGCCCTCTGCTCAGCTGATTTCATGAACCGCGGGTTTCGTTTTTTTTCTGGAGCGCTTGTACCCTGGCAGGGCGGGGCTTAGGTCTAAATGAGTGACAGAGATCACGTAGGATCTTCTGGGGCCAACTAGGCCCCGCTCCCTCCCGCCCCGCCCCGGTCACGCCCCCGGCCACGCCCCCGCCCCGGAAGACACCCAAACGCGCCTCAGCCGCCTAGTCCGCTCTGAGAACGCGTAAGTGCGCCTGCGCAACGCTGGGCCCCGCGGGTCGTTTGAATTGCGTACCTGGAGCTGTTTCCCGCTATCGGGGTTTCCCACCGAGACTGGAATATCTACAGCTTGCTACCCAGCGGCCAGTGGGCCCTTTGCTCCCCTACCGGCAAGAGGTCGGAGTCTGGTGTTGGGGGGGTCTCTCACCTCGGAAGCACCGCTTGGCAGGTGGGGACGCGGGCAGCGCCGGGTGGGGCGGAGCACCGGTTGGAGAGGCCTTGGCTTGGTTTAGTTTGAGTGGTTACTTTGTTTGGAGCGGCCCCTTCTCACTTGTGCTGGGAGTGACTAGAAACAGTTATTTTCCCTCTCTCCGCCTCATTACCAAACTCAAACAGTGAAGGCCCCACCCCGCCCACCCCAATGCTTCTTTGGGCCCATTTTGAAATTACATTGATTTTTAAAAAATGCATATGTATTTTGCATTTTAAAAGAAAGTATCAATGTTGGCTTATGTGGAAATAATGTTTTGGTCTTAACTGAATTCTTAAGGAAATGACCCAGGTTATCCCCTGTACCCTGTTTTGGAATCCGTTGACTGCAGAAGGGTGGCTCTAAGACTCGTCAGTACTGTGCTTTGGTTAGAAACTGAATTTTGTAGAATTGAAAGGAATTTTTCTTGAGTTTTATACTTTCCTTTCAAGGAACATTGATTTACTCATATTTACTATTCTTGGATTCTGAAAATAAACAAATTTTTGTCTAGCTTTTCTTTTTCTAAAAAAATGTGTTTATATATTTTTTATTCAGAGACTTAAAGGATGGCTTCCTCAGATCTGGAACAATTATGCTCTTATGTTAATGAAAAGATTGGCAATATTAAAAAAACTCTGTCATTAAGAAACCTTGGTAAGTAAAAGATTCACTGACTTTCCATGTACAAAATGCATTGTGATTTTTGTTCCTCTTTAAATGATATCTTATGACTGATTAAGTGAATTGAATGTATGTAAGGTAATTTTAGATTTTGAATAGTGATTTTTAAAACACTACATCACTTTGTTGAATATTGCAGAGGATACTTGTGCTGATGAGCTAAATTTTCATTAACTTCATTACTTATAGTTTTCTGGTGTGTGTGTGTGTGTGTGTGTGTGTGTGTGTGTGTGTGTGTGTACACACCACTAGTAAGATTTGAAATGTATGTGGCATCCATGGTTCTCAACCTTAATATATATGCTAAAAGAAAAAGGGTGGGAGGGACAAAAAAACAACTGAAGTGGAAGATTCAGAGATGGACTTAGTCCATAAACCATCTCCCTGCCTGCTTTGTAGAAAGCTTATTCCTTTATATCACAGAAACAGCTAATTAAAAATGAAATTTTTTATATTTATAAATTGGAAGTTATAATCATCTTTGAAAATATCTTGACATGCTGGGAAAGGCTGATGTAATGAAAGTTCAAAGAAACAGATGATCCTTGTCAAGTCAAAAATGTTAAAAAAAAAAAAAAAAAAGGTTTCCCACATCCCTGTTTAGAAGTGTTAAAGATTTATTGATAAGGGCTGGGGCTGGGGCTCAGCCATAGTGCACTTGCTTGGCATGTGTGAGGCACTGGGTTTGATTCTCAGCACTGCATATAAATAAATAAAGGTCTATCAACAACTCAAAAATTTTTTAAAAACTTTATTGATAGATGGAATTCCATCTACTGGGAAGATTATGATGAACTTTTAGTGTAGTTTGTGTTATGAATTTATAGTTTAGAGCTATTTTCAAATATGAAATTACCATGTTGAATATGCTCTTTTGATTTACACATACCCTCCCAAGAACTATATTCTCAATCACTATTGAGAACTTCTAATAAAGTTCCTTCCTCCATTTTAGTTATGGTTCACATACTCTAGAAAAGCTATAGGCACTGTGTACTCAGTGTAGCAACCCCCATCATTTCACACATTAGGAAACTGAGACTCTCAGAAGTCCAGTGGCTTGCCCAGTTCCCCAGCTCATGAGTACTCAGTTGGAATGACAGTTTGAATCTTGATTTCCAGTGTAGAATCCTTTCTACTTCTATGCCAATTTTTTTTTTTTTTGGTGGGGGGTTAAAAATGATTTTTGGATTTTTAATAAGTTGCCTTGTTTTGATTATTTTTCTGTAGGCATGATTACAGTTGAATTAAGAGATATAATTTGGAGATCTGTAAAGTTAGATTCAACTGGCCACCAAAGCAGAGGCCAATCTGAAGCAGTCAGGCCTGTTAAACAGATTACTATGTACTGGGCAATTGTTATTTTGTAGATGGGGAGAATAATTTGTTTTCATAGCCTATTTATTAAAGCCAGGTAGTTTGTCTGCCATTTTGGCTACTATAACCTATTAGCTGACTACTATCAAAAGGAATGAATTTACTCAATTGATTATATTGCTACAAATCAGTAAAAAAAAGACCCTAAAAATTTAGATGCCTAAAAGTTATTTGAGATATCAGTGCACAAGGAAGAGATATTGTATCCAATTTGCTTTTACTCTCTGAAATTATTCTCAGTAGAAATTTTAGAACTTTTTTTTTAACCTTAAAAATGGTCAAGTTTTATTTTAAAATGTGATAGCAAGATGGGGCTGTAGCTCAGTTGGTAGAGCGCTTGCCTAGCATGTTTGAGGCACTGGTTTGATCCTTAACACCACAAAAAAATAAAATAGAGGTATTGTGTCCATCTACTATAAAAAATAAAAAAATAAAAATAAAAACGTGACAAAGAAGAGGAGAAAAGAATTTTATATGGGTACTAGAAAACATTTAGAGTAATGGATTTATTACTTATGTTGGTTATTGTAAAGCCTAAAATTCATTAATTAATCATCAAAATCTCCATAGTTTGAAAAAGGCAAATTTTATAAAAAGGAGAGTATAGAAAATTCTAAGTAAAAGAACAAAATTAAAAGACATTCAAAATGAACTAATGCTCAGTGTGTCAGTAATGTCAAATGTTGGTGCTTTATTAAGAAATAAAATTGAAAGACTTGAGACATAAGTATTTATTAATTATATCTGTACTTGTATGTATATGTGTACAAAGGTCCCTCATTAAATGATGGGCATACATTCAAAGATATGCACTCAAAAGTGATTTTGTCATTTTTGCAAATATCATGCTGTGCGCTGACACTTACATTTTAAATTACTACATGCCTATGCTTTATAATGTAGCTATCATTATGCATAAAGTCCATCACTGACCAAAAGATCATTATGCCAAACATTGCTATATGTTATAAACTCAGAGAAATCAATGCACACCTCATATTGTTATGAATAGATAGACCTGTAGAACTAAAAAGAGAATCTTTAACAAGACATGTCCAATTAGACAATGATAAATGAAAGTTTCCACTGCTGAGAAGTAGAAAAATGACATTTTTTTTTTTTTTAAACTGCTGGAACAAGGGGGTATCATTTCCTGGCTTTCTGAGTGCTCCATGTTCTCCCTATGGTTCTTTCAGCACCTGCGTAGCATAGAAACCAAGGGCTCCTGAGCCTAGGAGAGGGAGTCTAGAAACAGATTGCAAGAACAGCGGACTCCTGATACTCCACAACTCTTATTAATTTGTTTTAATTGTTATGAGCTGAGTGTCAAAGCCAATTAGCGTCACTCAATTAGATGGAATAATATACTGCTTCTTATTATGATGATGAAAGGCAGTTAGCATTCACTGAGTGTTTTACTAGGTTCCAGACACAGTACTTAGTCTGTCTTCTATATACTTTCATACTGACCATAGGCCTAGGTACTGGTGTCTCTGTTTTCAAGTTTGGAGACTCTAGCCTTTTCAGTCTACTGCCTTTATAATCTACAAGTATGGCCAAAATATGCTTCTATTTATGTTTTTCATTGCTTTGTTGCTGGAAATGAAGACAGAGAGGTTTAATTATGACTGTAGGTTTTCTTTTGTGCTTTTGTTCTGCTCTTCATTCTTTTTTTTTTTTTTTTTTTAATTCTTCTGTTTCTAAGGAGGAAGGGATTCTGGTTTTCCCATTCTCAAATTTATGAAGCTAGAGAGAGGCACTAGGAGGTGGAACTGGGAATATGAAAACTTGCTGCTTTATACATTTCTTGTGTGTGTTTCTTCTCTGCACCCTGGAGTTATCACTAGCCCATGACTTTTTATGTCACTGTCTCTTTTAGGACTTTTTTTTWAAATTTAAACACAGAAAAATTATTTTTTTATTCTGTCTTAAGGTTAAAGTCAATTTTTGACTCAAATAACACAAATATAATTCAGAAAGGAATTGATGAAAAGTTTGTTGAAGAAATGACAAATGTGTATTATAGCCAAGTACACATCTCAATTCACAGTATTACTCTTWTTTAAAAAAATTTTTCATTTGTTCTAACTTTTTAGATAGTGTAAATATGAATCCCAGGCCTATATTACAAATTCCCATAGAGAACTCCTCTCAGCCCCACCCCAAACCCCCACACACATACCAGAGGACTAATTGAAAACACGAGCTTGTGATTAGAATTTGGGGATTGAACTTTCACTGAAGATATATCCTTTGAACAGGGGTCCTGGCCTCCTTTGAGATACTAATTTCCAACCACCTGTATTTTGAAGCCACAAAGCCTTGGATCCTATCCTCCTTAAAGTGAAATGCATCCACTTGATGATGTTGACAGTCTCCTCCAGCATCCCTCCACACTCCCTAGGTCAGAGCTGCTGCAGCATCAGTTCATGTGCACTACGAAGAGCGTCTGTGGATCCCTCTTCACATTGGAACCTTTGGGAATTTATCTTATTGTTAAGAAGGCTCAGTGAAGCCGGTAGAGGGGTGTTTATTTTATCTAATATTTGTAGGTGTTTATTATCATGAAGGAATTTGCTAAAAACAAAAGCCTCAGAGGATTCCTTGTATGTACCTTTCCCCTACTTCTCTCCCATGCTTAGAAATGACATCTGTAGAGTCTCTAGGAAACAGGTCCCCGGGCATGAAGCACCTCCAGTGCTTCCAAGGCAAAGCTATCTGCCCCAAGAGTTTGCATGGTTATTGAATGCTATTGTTTTTACATATACTTTGTTTTCTACTTTATATTTGTTTATAACAGGCCAGGAACCTACCTTGAAGTCAATATTAAATCAAATAGAAGATGAGATCATTGTAGTAAATGAACTTCTAAATAAATTTGAATTGGAAATTCAGCATCAGGAACAAACCAACACTTCACTCAAGGTACTGTTTTCCTAATGAAGAAACAAAGTAAAAAGGCAACAAATACAAACTCCATAATTACCAGCTAATCTGGAAGCATTCTTTAAGTTTATAATGTTCTTAGCTTTGTAAATTATTAATGGTGTGAAGTGCTGTTTGTATTTTATGATTCTGAGCACAGCTATTTCTTCATGCCAGTGGAATTGAACTTTACTAAAAAGAAGAAATAATTCTTGGTAGGTTTAATGTAAGCAAATGGTCCCCTGGGAGAGTGATGTGTGAAGAATACCTTCCTCAGGTGAGAAGATGTGGGTTCTCACAATGGCTGCCTTTGGCACCCTCTGCCATACCAAGAAAGCCACTTTACCTCTTGAGATCTCAGGATCTGCATTTAAAAAATAATACTGGGTTATTTCTTAGCCTTTTTTAATTTCTGTATTTCTACATTTTTGTAAAATGTAATATAAGGGTTCTTCAGTAAAGGAAAATTTGAGCCTCACTTATAAGTACATTTTGTTCTAAATAAGACTTCTAATTGACTTCAGCTAATAAAGGTGCTGTATACTTCCTAATGAAAAAATACTCATTCTGTACAGTAATTACCTCTTGGTGTTTTTAGGGCCATTGATGTGTTCAATGGGGCTGAATAACCTGGCCTGGTCCCTGTCAGACTTGTAATCCTTATGTAAAGACTTTTCAGCTATAGGAATGGGTATAATCATATCTATCTATATATGTATATGTATGTATGTGTGTGTGTGTGTGTGTGTGTATGTATGTGTATATATATATATACACACATACATACACACACACATATATATACACAAATACACACATTATTAGTCCACATGAAATTAGTGTCTATGAGCATCATTTAACTCTTCAAAAGAAAAGATGTCATGAATTCAAAATTGAAGCAGTATCACTATTTCAACTCTATTCTATCCAAGAACGCCCAGGATTTGTGGTAAACCTAGAGAATGTTCAAATGAGAACTGAAGGATATTTGGAATTTCTGTTTACATTATGATTGGGAGCCAGATAATAGGAATCTAATAGGTACAGAGTATTCTCATTAAAGTTTGCATAATTTCATTTCCTCAAATTCTAGCAGCAGTTAAAGATTTTTTAAAATTCAGTTATGATCTAGTAGAGATATTCATTAAGCTGGAATGTATGCATGATCACATGAAATCATTCCAAGCAGCATTTCGTAGTTGTCATCTGTGTAGGCATTGTCACTTGGTACTGTCATATATGTAACACTGGGGAATGCAGGTTAAGTTATCAAAAGCAGTTTATCAGAATGAAAAAAAGATCAGTCTTTCATCTATTTCTTAGTTGCTTCCCAAGGTTAAAGTGTTGGAAAGACTTAAACCTCAATCTTGCTTTGTAATGTAGTTATAGTGATTTTTCTCTGATGAAGTCTAGTAGGGAACAATATTATATCACTGTCCAAAAAGCTCTAGAAGCCAAAACTCTTGTTTATTATTTATTTTTTTTCCTCTGGTTTCGGGCATCAAACCTAGGGCCTCATACCTGTGCAAGCTTGGTGGTTCATCACTGAGCTATAACCACAGCCCCTAAGTTTTGGGTTTTTTTWAAATAAATATTGCTGTACCTAGTGATTTTTTTCCCCTTTCATTCTGTATCCTCAAACCTCACAATCACTGTGATTATGGTTCATAGTTTTTTTTTTGTCTTTATAATATAACACACAGGAAGGAAGTTAATGAGCATTTAAAAATTTTAGGAACTCTGTGAGTCTCTTGAAGAAGACTATAAAGATGTGGTACATCTCAAAGAAAATATTCCTTCCCATTTGCCTCAAGTAAACGTAACCCAGAGCTCGTAAGTATACTTACAATTATTTTTCTTGCTATCTGGATTTAAACCCATGAAAACAAATATCTCAGAGCCATTTTCTCTATCATGTGCTTGTTATTTTGTTGGTTGTCATCCATTTTTTTTTTTTTTTTGTCATGAGTAGTAGAAACTGTATGTCCTCCTATTTTCACCAGTTTTCTTATCCTGCATCTCTGAGGAATATTTTTCCCTACTTGAAGTGCGTTTTTGAAATAAAATATTGGTGGCAGAGAACTGGAGAGATGGGAAAGGAGAAATAATAGAAGACAAAACACAGGCCCTCCCAAATTATAAAGACAGAAGATGATGGAAGATCCTACTCAAGAGTCAGGCAGTGAGAACAAGGGAAGGAAGGGCAGACAAAACCTCAGAGAGGCAGAATGGACAGTGATGGCTAAGAGACATGAGGCAGGCTTCTGAGGGGCAGGCTTCTGAGGGGCAGGCTCCCGAGGCTCTCTTCTCACTCGTTCTTTCTCTTAGAACAGTTTCTCAGCCTCAGCCCCATTGCTGTTTTAGGCAGGTAGTTCCTTGTTGTGAGATTAGGGTTATGAGTAGCATCCCTGATTTCTACCCTCTGGATGCCAGGTGCATCCCTCCTCCATACCCAGTTGTGGCAATGATGGTCTTCAGACATTGCCAAGTATCCTCTGCAGGCATATTATCCCTGGACCGCTTTAGAGTAAGAATAAACTTGATAAATTTCTCTTCTGAAAAATAGCTAAAGAAACACTCAACTTAACTCTTTCCCTGCTCCTGTTTTGCTGTCCTTTCTCCCAGGAGTCCTATTGCCTAGCTCTTCATTACCACCATTCTTATGAAACTGATGGCTTGCAGGTCACAGAGAGGTTGAAGTTCCTCTAGCCCTGGTTCTGCTTTCCAGGTCCTGCATTGTCTACCCCTTTAGAGATGCTGCTTCTGCACTGTGGTTGGTTCCTTAGCTGTCATCCCATACTGACCTGGCTGCTTGCTTTCCCTCTGCCATTCCAAAAATTACAAGTGTCTCCTGAAGCTATTTACTCTTGCTTACCTAACCCTATTGTTAACGCTCACAAATGTGCAGCTCCAGTCATAACACATCTTAGTTCTAGTGATTTCGTGGCCTACTGGGAATCTAATGAAGGAAATATTTTCTCTTCGAACTTTGCAAGTCTAGGGAAGAACTCACCAATTGTCTTATTACTCATCACCCAACCTGCTGGTCCTGTCCTCCCATCAAGTAGCAGGGACTTGGCATCCTTACTTTGCCTCACTGTCTTGTAGCCATCACTGGTCCATTCTGCCTCTCTGGGGTTTTGTCTGTCCATCCTTTTCCTTATTCTTACTGCCTGACTGTATAAGATCTTCCATCATCTTTTGACTTTAAGATTTGGGAGGTCCTGTGTTTTCTCTTCCAGTATTTCTTCTTTCCCATGTCTTCTATTCTCTGCCACCAAAATTTTATTTCTAAAAAGTACTTTGAGTAGATAAAAAATTCCATGACCCAATTAAAGAAACAGAAAAGTTTTGAAATGTATCATATGTACAGAAAAGTGTTTAAAGTATTACTTTTACAAATTGAAGAATAATGATACAAACATCCGTGTGTCTACTAGCCAACTTAAGAAACAGAACATTACCAATACCTTAAAAATACTCCTAATGCAGACCCTCTCTCTGTCACAGAGGTACTCACTTTCCTGTCCTTGAGGATAATCCTGCCTTTGCATGTGTGTTTCCACAAATAGTATATTGTTTAAACTTGGAAAACTGAAAGGCAAACAGTGAACCTTGCCACTAGGAAAAGAGTTATAGTGCTGTTGATGGTAGAAGGTCCCCAGGAATGAAAGCTCTTCAGTGTCTCTGGTTGTGATCAGCATGCCTGAGAATTTTACTGCAAGAAGAGAAGACTAGTGGACAAGGTTATGAGAGAATACTAGAGAACAGAGTCATCACCCTATATCTTCAGGATTGTAGTATGTGCCAGACTTTAGACATCTGACAGGAATATGACAGGAGAACAGGAGTTCACTGAGGGTTGAAATTCTCTGGGGGTAGGTCAAGCAGAACCTTTCTGTAGGTTGAAATGATTGTTGTTGACTGATACAACAGGGCTTGCAGGAGCAATCTGGCACTTACTTAGCATATGGTGAAGACAAGCAAGTATAGGAAAAAGTAAGGCAGTTTCTCAGTAGAGTCTCACATTAGCATTCACATTAGGATGATGATATCTTCACATTGGGCATCTTTATCTCAATAGCCCACAACAGCCATTTGGGCCCACCTGATTGCTCTCTGTCTGGTGCTCAGCTGTARTCTTGGGGATTCCCTATGCTTGCTTCTGTGTTGGATTTGTTGTTTCCTAGTGTTTTCTTTCTTGTAGTGGTCAAGCCACTATGGCCACAGAGTTTTGTTCCTTCCCTGGCAGTTAAACAGCCTTTCTTGAGCTACATYAGGCTTTTCAGTAAATAAATTTAGGCAGACTGAATATAGTGACCCGTGCTCATTGCTGGCAACAACTGACACAAGCAACAGGATGAATTAGAATAAATGGAGGTCTAAGATGAGTAATGTTGGCAGTTCAGAACTATGGAAGTTGGGAAGAGATGTCTAGCATATATCCTATGTAGTCTATGTTTCAGGTATGTGATTAATATAATTGTATTATTGAAGAATTGGGGACTAATTTTTTTTTAACATTTCCTTCACTATTTAATCTTAATAGTGAAGGGATAGGAAAAATGTTGGCTATAAAATTATTATAACAGGATGAGTCATGTGTTTATTGATTATTTTCAGTTGGGAAAAATTTCCAGGATACTGCTTAATTCTGACAATTATCTGTTCATATGTACATCTCTATTTTTTAGGGTTAAAGGGCCAGATCTTGACCCTGATGGACCAGTCAAAGTTGAGGAATCTGTACCCATAAAGAAGACTCCCAAAGAACAAAAAAGTATTAATAGTATTAAAGAAATGCTGTTTATAACTACTGAGGAGTTCAGTGGTGTTCCTGCGTAAGTTGTGTGTTTTTTTTTTTTTTTTTTTTTTTTTGGTACTGGGGATTGAATTCAACTACTGATCCACATTCCCAGCACTATTTTGTGTTTTATTTAGAGAGAGTCTCACTGAGTTGCTTAGCTTTTTGCTGAAGCTGGCTTTGAAGTCATGATCTTCCTGTCTCAGCCTCCCAAGCTGCTGGGATTATAGGCATGCACTACAGTGCCCAGCCCAAGATAGATTTTAATGTTTAACTCTTGAATAATCAACATACATGATTATTTGGATCATAAGGCCTGATTATATTAATTGTAATATGTGGAGTACAAATCCTAGTCTTATCTAAAATATTTTTGTTATGAAAAGGCAGGAAATATTTTGTTGAAAATGCTCAAAATCAGGTTTTTTTGTTTAGTTGTAAAAATCTCTTTTCATGGAAATTTAGAGATTTTGCTTATGTCTTCTCTAGGACCATTCTGTGATACAGATTTACTTAAGTATATCAGTTTTGTGGTAGTTTTAAATTGAGTGTGTGTGTAGATTTGAGAATTAGAACAGAGTACATGTGTGGTTTCCATTTATCTCTTGTACCACATCTTGTTGAGTCTGTACTATATTCTAAGCCCCTTGTCACTGAGGAGACACAGGAATGAATAAGACAAGATGCCTCCCCTAGAGGGAGGTTTTCTTTGCTTGTTACAGATGGCAGTAATGGGGAAGTAATTATGGAAATCCCTGCTCTTAAACTCCTAATTCTGGGGTTTTGTGTAACTTCTAAGTTTTATATTATGTTACATTTATTGTTCCTTTTATTACAAATAATATATAGAGAGTTAGAAAATATTTATTGTCAGAAAATAAAACTCATTTGTAATTCTACCACTCAGATAAGACATGGTATTTCTTTCTAGATTTTATTTTATTACACACACATAACAGGTATTTCTGATTGTTTTTACAATGTAGTTAAACTATAATTTACTTTTTTTTTATCCGGAATTTTTTCTTCATTAACTATCACTGAAAACTTGGATTTTAATAGTTGTGTAATATTTCATTATGTAACCATCCTATAATTTATTTAAGGATTCCCTTTTTTTAATATAAAACTTTTAATTGGGTTGTTTATTTTCTTATTGTTGAGTGAAAGTTCTTTGCATATCTTTTCTTCTCTGGTGGTCCCATTGTGTGCCATACATTTTGTAATTGCCTCACAGTGCTTGGGTTTTCTGTTCTGTCCCTTGCCCCCACCCTCCGCAATATGGTTTGAGAAGCTTGTATTGACATATCTTCAAGTTCACTAATTCTTTGCTTAGTTGTGTCCGGTCTGCTGATGAGCCCATCAAAAACTTCTTCATTTCTGTTACAGAGTTTTTAAATATCTAGCATTTTGTATTGATTCTGGAGTTCTCTCTATTTACTTTACCCATCTGTTCTTGTATTTTGTTCTTTTTAAATTAAAGTCCGTAGAATATTAAATAGTTATTTCAATTAGCAGTTTGATTCTTCCAAAATCTGTTATTACTGAGTCTGCTTCTGATGCTTGCTTTGTCTCTTCAGACCATGCTTTTTATCTTTTTATTATGCCTTGTAATTTTCTGTTGAGAGGTTAGGCTTAATCTCCAGCACACCTTGCCTCCCCACCTCCACCCCCCCACCCCCCCCCAAAAAAAGCAAGCTGAATGGAGCGTACCTGGTAATAAGAACTGAGGCTTCTAGTAAGAGGGTTTTTGATGCTGTGTTTAGGAGCTGGGCTATTAANCCCCCAAAAAAAAGCAAGCTGAATGGAGCGTACCTGGTAATAAGAACTGAGGCTTCTAGTAAGAGGGTTTTTGATGCTGTGTTTAGGAGCTGGGCTATTAATATTTGCTATAGAGTATTCAGTTTCTTATAGTTTCTATTGTTTGTCTTCCCTGTTGTCTTTGGATTCCCCTAGAAACTCCTTCTTGAATAGATTCTGACTTGTAGCTTGCTCAATTTTGATCCACTATTAACATTAGGGCCTTGTTGGCTGGTGGTAAACTATGGTAAAGTAGGAAGCATTATATCATCTGGTGGTTAATTCTCAGGCTTTTCGGTGGGTTTGACCAAGGTCTGACTCTGGTTTCTTAGCTAGAGGACCTAAAGTTCTGTGATTACCTCCCTCTAGGTCCCATAAAGCTCTGTTAGTTTCTCTTGAGGACAGGCCTTTGGAGAAGAGAACTGCTCTAGGTATAATTCACAATAGTTATTTTTCCTTGAGCTATCTCAAATGATTATGTTTTCCCTCATGCCATTAAAAGAAAATTTTTCTTTGAATTGCACCATTAAAAGCTGGGAGGGGGAAGCTATCTTAGAGATAAAACTAATGAGCATGGGGGGGCTCCCTAAGCTGGTCCCCAGGATTTTTTAGATTTCAAACTAATTCAAAATGAACCTTAGCGATTTATCAGTTACTGTTAAAATATTCTTGTAGTTACTAGTTCCAGTGGCTTCTCTTCCCAGGAAGCTGAATTTCTCTGTATTTCCTTGTGATTTCAGTTTGGGAGCCAATGTTTTGCCCTAGAACCTCAGTTCTCTGATGGACTGAAGAAGAGTTATGGTTTTAGTTTGTTCTTGAGAAGACTGGAAAGAGKAGAGGAGTTGAAAGTTCTTTACTATCAGAGTTCTACATCCCCATTTTTATTCCTATTAATAGTGTATAAATGAGAATACCCATCTTGTCTCAGCCTTGCTAGCATTACCTACTGTCTTAAAAATTATTGCCAGGTAGTCCCTGAAAGATATCTGCTACAATTTTGAGACAAGTATTGAGGCTGACATTTCTCTTTAGTCTTTTTTTGTTTTGTCACTCCATCATTTCCTTTACTGACAACTTTATTTCCACAGAATCAGTTTGACACTTTAATGCTGTTCATTTTTGCTTGTAGTTATTGCTGKTCATCACCTGAGCTACAGGGAAGAGCAAATGGCCATGAGGAGCAGTGGACAAGAAGTTCTTAGAAAATGCTGTGTGTAGGGGTGAAGGAAATTAGAACAGTGATGGTAGAGGACTCATTTTGTAGGAATTCATTATTTAATGAATGAGACACAATGTTAAAAGATTATGATCAAGAAGAGTATATTTCAAACATTGGACTTTCAATTATTAATTTAAAAGATTTAATTCTGAGAGTGGAGTTAAAGTAGAAAACATTGGCAAAGATGGGGGATGGGGCTGGGCTTGTAGCTCTGTGGTAAAGYGCTTGCCTTGCATGCGTGAGGCCCTGGGTTCGATCCTCAGCACCACATAAAAATAAAGAAATAAATAAAGATACTGTGTTCATCTACAACTAAATAAAAATATTTTTWAAAAAAAGATGGGGGATGGATTCAGAGGAAATAAAGTGATAATCAAGAGGACCTGGAGGAATTCCTAAGTGCATTGTGGAGAGCAATGGTATTCGAATCGAGATTGGAAATTGTGTTTAGAAAAAAACTGCTGCAGAAGTTTGGGAAAAAGAGGAATAATGAAAATGAATGCTTTTGGAAATATGAGTTTTCTCCTTTAAATTCCTTTATTATTTTATATTAAAGAACTTTTTTTAAAAAATATTTTTATTTGTTGTTCATGGACCTTTATTTTATTTATTTATATGTGGTGCTAAGAATTGAATCAAGTTAGGCAAGAGCTCTACCACTGAGCCATAACCCCAGCCCAATACTAAAAAACTTTTGATTGGAAAACTGCCACCTTGAGTAGAAACTCTTTGACAGAGTTCAACATGATGAACTCACCATGGGATACCACCTGTAAATTATTTGAGCTTATTTGTGCATCTTCACTTGGCCTTGAGCCAGGAAGATTTAGGTTTGGCATTGCAGACTATTTTGTGACTCCTCCCACTCAATGGATTGCACAATGCATGTGACCTCTGTCTTTGCTTTGCTAGGGAGACCACTCTCATAGCTGCAGAGTGGGGTGTAACCCATTGGAAAATGGACAGCCCACCTCCTACCCTATTTGGCAAAAGAACATCCAATGAAAAACCTTTGATGCTTCCCACATATAAAGCAAATGGGCTTTTGTTCTCTCTTTCCAGTGTGGAAGCTCGACCCCTAAGGTTGAAAAGCCGTCCCATCCCCACTTTCTAACATTATTTCCTGTGTCCTGTGGTTTCTTTGCTGTTTTTCTCTTTCTTAACTTTATTTCAGAGCCAGCTTGTTACTTGCAGAGGAACCCCGAATTTCATTGCCCACAGAGGACTCGGGCAAGAAACACAAAGCAACAGTTTGTTGAGGGGAGAATGAGGCAGATGATTGAGTTTGGGTTTTGGTGTGTCCAGAACCCTCAGAGTTGAGAGTTTCTGATTTTTATATTCTGAATCCTTGGTAACAGGACAGACAAACATGGAAGAAACAATTCTTTGAAGGACTTTGAGGTAGCCAGTAGAAAGGAGCATGGCTACAGACTGCTTTTGTGCTGAAATTCGGAAGCCTCTTATTCTTTATGTCCCCTCCCTAGCAGTTCTTCTTTGTCACTGTCATCTTCTTTCCTGTGGCCTTTTTAACCTCATCTTCCCTTCCGCCTCCCCCCCCCCACCCCACCCCCACACACTGAACACATACTGTTTTCAGAAAATGATGCTACGGGTTGTATACTTTCTCAACATTGAAATTTTTCTTTGCATACATTTTTAAATGCCTAAATAAATACATCTTGTGGTTAGTTAGTTCATTTAAATTAGAATTTGCTTATTTTGAGTGTAAATATTGTATAGGTAGAGAATAGAAATTGATTAATGCATCCAGATATGAATTAGGGAAGCTAGGCACTGGTATGTTGCCACCTCAATTTAATTTTTCAGCTGTTGAGATGTGTCTGGTCTATTTGAGAGTTGATATAAATTGTTTTTAAAAGGGCTTTTAAAAAAAATATAAAGGATATTTGGGCCGAAATTGTAACTCAATGGTAGAACGCTTGCCTAGCATGTGTGAGGCATTGGGTTCAATTCTCAGCACCACATAATAATAAATAAAATAAATGTCCATCAATAACTAAGAAAATTTAAAAAAATATATATAAAGGATATTTTGCTACAGTACAAATTTGTATTTTTCAAAGAAAGTAATTTGAAAATATATTTTTTTTACAGGTACATGAAATCCCGCTTGACCTATTGTCAAATCAATGATGTTATTAAAGAAATCAACAAAGCAGTAGTTAGTAAATACAAGATTGTACATCAACCAAAATCATCTATGAATTCTGTGGCCAGAAATCTCTATCAAAGATTTATTAATGAAGAAACAAAGGACACTAAAGGTAAAATGATATGCATATACATGTACCTGTCAACTGTTGGGAATCTGATTAATTATGAGCAGCAAAGGTGATTCTAGAAAATTCTAAATCTAGGTGGTTAAATCTCAACCAGGGCAGTTTTCCAGCTAACAACATTTGTCATGCTGGAGACATTTTTAGTGGTAGCAGCTGGATAAAGGGTGTTCCTGGCCTCTAGTGGATAGGAGCTAGGAGTGCTGCTCAAACACCCTACAAAGCATAGAACCGAGCCCAACATGGCTAATGCTGAGGAACACTGCTTTAGAGTCTGTTTTGAAACTATATCCAAAGTTTTGAGAATTAGAATTGTAATGATACTAGTTGGTCCTGCTTATATAGCACTTACCCTGTGCCAGAGAATGTGCTGAAGTCTGATCCTCACACATCCCTATATCATTTTGCAGATGAGAGTTTAACTTATCCTAGGTCATCCGCTTGAATGGTAAGGCTACTCCATTCTGTTAACCACCACCATATAATGCCTCTCGATAAGTGAATTGTTCAAGAGATACCATCAGGCAGCTGGTAATCTAATAAGCAGGGTCACCGTACTGAAATATGCAATTTTAGTAAGAATAATTAGTTTAGCAAGAATATAATTTYCTCACTTTGATTGGATAATGACAGTAAGAATGACTAATGTCATTTATATTCAAACTTTAATGCCTTAAAGACTCATCTTAAAAGTTGTCTTCATAAAAGTTAGCACTACATTTTTATTTTCAGGACAGTATTTTATAGTGGAAGCTGACATAAAGGAATTCACAACTTTGAAAACTGACAAGAGATTTCATGTGATCCTGAATATCTTGCGACACTGCCGGAGGCTGTCAGAGGTCCGAGGGGGAGGAATTACCCGTTATGTCATAACCTGAGACCCTTGTAAGCTTTGGAATTAAACAGTAGGGTATAGAAGCTAGTTCTATGATTTTCTTATATATAATTTCTTTAGCTTTTCATTTTCAATTTGTTTCTTATAGAAACAAGATCTTTTTGGATAAAGTATGTATATTTTAAAGGTCACTTCTTCTCAGCAAATATTTAATCACCTACCACATAAGCCTCTCTACTAGGCACATCATGGACTAAACTTGCTCATGTCTAGTTTTGTGCTAGACGCCGTGAAACGGGTATAGATGTGATATTGCAAGAAAAAGTCAAGAAGATGAAATCAAGGATACCCAGGCCCTTTGAAACTAAATGTCATTCATGTCAAATTCCATCAAAGGCATTTCAGCCTCCAGGTGACTTCCTAGAAGTGGATTTGAAGGTGGCTTATCTGATTATTGTGCTTTTCCACATGTCCTTAGGGACCAGCTCACCTAAAATGTATTTAGTATAACCCAGTCTGTAGACTTCAGCCTGTAATGAAAGTATATCAAGATAATGTAATGTCATGATGTAATAAATTTATATTTGTTATTCATCCTTGGTTTTTTGTTCAGAAATCCTAAAACCCTTGTAATGTCCTGAGGGATAGGGATACATCTTTTGTACTCACTGGTCTTTGGCCTCAGTTCCTGACACAGGGCTCTTAAATCCCTTTGAATTTCCTTGCAACAGGAGCCTTTTGAGGGGGCTGGGGTTGTAGCTCATTGGTAGAACACTTGCATAGCAAGTGTGAGGCACTGTGTTCGATCTTCAGCACCATATAAAAATAAATAAACGAGAGGTATTGTACCAATTTTCAACTAAAAAATATATGTTTAAAAAAAAGGTGCATTTTTTGTTATAACAAGACAATCCTTCGTGGGCTCCTGGACAGCAGTGGATGGGGTCTGGTCACAATGACTAGATGGCTGCAACTTTTAGCTCCCCAGCTATCCCCAGGGAGGGGAGAAGGCCTGGAAATAGTGTTAGTGATCAATCATGCCAGCTTTATGAAGTCATAAACATTTTTAAACTGTGCACTTCAAAGAGTTTCCAGGTAGGTAAACACATTGATATGCCAGGAGGTGTTGCACTCCACCTGTACAAGGACAGAAGCTTCTGTGCTTGAGGCCCTTCTGGAAGTCACTCTGTGTACCTCTTCAATTGGCTGCTTATCTGTATCCATTATAATACCCTTTATAATAAACTGATAAACAACTATTTCCCTGAATTCTGTAGTCTTAGCAAATTATCAAACCTATAATGAGGGGAAGTGGGAACCCCTGATTTGTAGCTCATTGAGCAAAATGAAATGGGTATGGGTAACCTGGGGACCCATTAGTTTGAGTGGTGTGTGAAATAGAGACAGTCTTGTAGGACTAAGCCCTTAACTTGTGGGGTCTCTACTAATTCTAGGTAGTTAGTGTCAGAATTGAATTGTAAGACACGCAGGGTGTCCAGAGAGTTGGAGAAACTGATGGAGTTATGGGTATGAAGCATCCCCCCAAAACTCCTGTGTTAATGCAGGAATAATCAGAGGTGGAATGATTAGATTATGAAAGCTGTAACCTAATTGGTCCATGCTAGTCTGAATGGATTAACTGGGTTTAACTGTAGGCAGGTGGGGTGTGGTAGAAGCAGGTAGGTTACTGGGGGAAGGCCCTTGAAGGGTACTTCTTCCCTGCAAGGGTTGGGAAGGTCTTTCCTAACTGCTATGAATGGTGCAATATTCCTCCACCAAGCCCTTATACCTTGATATTTTGCCTAATTTCAGGCTCAGGCCCCAGAGTTATAGAGTAGGCTGAYCATGAACAACTCTGAAACTGTGAGCCAAAATAAACTTTTGTTCCTCAGTATGGTTCTTTGTCAGGTATTTTGGTCACAGCAACAAAAAGCTTACTAACATATGGAGGGAACTCCACACGTTTGGAGTCAGAAGTATTATGTGAATGTAATATAGAAGAAAACAGTGAAGGTTTTCCCTGTTGAGATAAAAATGATGGCRAGATAATGTGTGCACAGGTTGATGGGGATGATGTGAATGTGGGTAATTGGATTTTAAGAACTGAGCCCTGTTCTGCACCTGGTTAGACAGTCTGGTCTATCTGTGGCCATGCCATCTGCTTGGCAAGCTCATCCCTGCAGTGGAGAAAAAAAATGTGTCATCTGGCCTCATGGCCTTGTTAACACCCTCACTAGTGACCACAGAGAAAAAAATGTGTCATCTGGCCTCATGGCCTTGTTAACACCCTCACTAGTGACCACAGAGTATAGGCCCTGATTACTGATCCTTTCTCCTTAATTCACGTGCAGGCAAGTTGTATTTTTATGCCTCAATTTAAATATTAATGATGGCATTATCCTTTATTTTGTTTTTAAGTCTTGCTTCATGTTTTTCTATGAATCATGTTTCCSTATGAAAATCTTTCTCCGTTTAAAGTATTCCTTCCTCCACAGCTGAACAACTGTGTCAGCAAGTTTGTTTCATTTTTTACTAAATGGATACTAAGATGAATAGTTAGTCCCTATCTTATTCATTAGCACATAATTGATTTATTGTATAAATTTAGGTACATTGTTGATAAAATTATATCCCATGAAGAATAATGATGGTATTAATTTTAAAATAAGAACTAATTTCTTATTCCAACTTTATTTTCAAGCAAAACAACAGGTGGTTCTTATTTGTTTCTTGAAAATCACATTTTTAATCTAATTTTGAGAGACTTTGTAGTCCTAAGTCTGTGCCCTCAGCTCATTGCTGGCCCTTTCTTTGCTCCATCTATTTAGGGAGCATGTCCCAGTGGGCTGGCTCTGACAGGATCTGCAGAGCCTGAGGCCACGTGTGCTCTCTCCTGTTCTCATCGTGCYGTGGCAGTAGACACCCAGAAACTTCTGTAGCTTCTGTGTATGTTGGTTGTAAGATACTAGTATTTATTTGATTTACAATCCAGAGGGTGAGTGGGGATGTTATCAGACCTCCCCACTTAATTGGCTACATGACAGGCCAGTTAAACCTAGAGACAAAGTGTTAAGTCAAGGAATGCAACTTTAAGACAGAGAACACTTGCCCAAAATCTATCTTGCTGGGAAGCTGATGTACGAGTGGTTTATATAGGAGGATGATGGGTGTTTGTAGACTGGTGGCCACCTTCTCTTTGCTGGTGAGGGTTCCAGGTTTATGGCGAGATGATGCATGCCTGATTTTTTTAGRGGGAGAGAGTACAGGGAATTTAACCCAGGGGCAATTACCACTGACTTACATTTCCAGCCCTTTTTATTTTGAAACAGGGTCTTGCTAAGTTGCTTAGAGCCTTTATAAGTTGCTGGGGCTTGCCTTGAACTTTCGATCTTCCTGCCTCAGCCTCCCAAGCTGCTGGGGCACACCTGATCTTAATTGCCCAGTCACAGGATGTTTTTTTAGTTCTGGACATTTTAAGAAAAACAGTGATCGTTTTTATTCACTGATTAGATTGCTTGTGCACCATTCTAGGCATGCAATGGACAGGCTGGAAGTAGTAGCTGGCCAGGAAAAAAATACAAGCATGCTCAACTTCTGGTAGGCACACCCAAAGTGAGAACAAGGAGTTTATTCAAACCAAAATGGCGGTAGCCGCCTAGGAAACATACGGTCCAGTCTCAGAGCTCCAAAATGGCCCTGGCCCAGGATCTGGTTGTATAGATGAAGAAGAACAAGAAGGGGGGTTACGACAAGTGGGTCTGCAAGCATTGTACAGTCATTGATTTATCATTGCTCATTTATGTCATACATTCCAGTAAGGAATTGTGAAAAGTGGGAAAGGCTTTTTTTATTTATTATCTTTATGGCGCCAGGGAGGTGGCAGAAATATGGCATGCCAAGTCAGAACAACCTAGGTGACTTGTTTTCATGCTTCATGTTTTCCCTGGGCTAAAGAATTTTGTGGCCTCATTCTTGTGATACTTTAAATCCTTTATCATGATAAAATCTTCAGTTTGTTCTTTTATAAATTCTGTTTTTTAAAGGAAAGTTTATATATAACCACTCCCCTATTTTTTTTTTTTTTTTTTTTTTACCCCAGGAAACACAGGCTAGTTAGAAATGATCTTGGGAACTACCACCTCAATCCCATTTTATTCCTCCTGGGTACATTTTGTGCCCCATACCTCTCTTCGTTACACTGTGTTCTGGCTTCTCTCCTAGGCAGGCTCTACTTTCAAGACTCTCCTAGGTACATTCTGTCCCCTGAACTTCTCTTGGGTATACTTTACACATGGCCCTGTCTTAGGTATGCCTGTCCTCCTTTATGTTAACTGAGTGTGTGGGTGTCCCTTCAGATTCTTTTGGCCTCATCTCAGTCTTGACTGGTGCTGCCACAGGCACTGGCACACCTGACAGTCTCCTCCTCCCCCCTGCGATCCTCAAGCTCTGGCTTCCTTGGCACACACTATTGGGGCAGCCTCTGTGGTGCCAGTTCTCAAACCCAGCCCAGCTAGCTGTGGAAGTTCTGGCTTCTCCTCCTGGACTCATGAAGCAGCTGGCCACAGGGTATGGGCATTGGCTTCCTGAGCAGCTGCTTGGGGAGGCCAGGTGACAACCCAGATTTGTGAGGATACACCCATGGAAAGTACTTTCCCAGTGAGAGAGGAGATGAAGTGGCAGATAAATTCTTTGTACCTCTTTTTGAGATACTGTTCCAAAGAATAGTTTTTCTAACCTGCCTGTCCGGCGACATCCTGTGTGACTGAGTGGCTATGCCGATTGTGGGTCATGGAGCAGCGATGAGCTTAGGTGTGTTATCACTTTGGATTTGCTTTCCATCTTTTCCTGTCTTGGGTCTCTTTTCCCTCACTCTTGCTGCCCCGGGCATGGAACCCCCAATAAATTGTTAGCCTTGCTCTGGGAACCTTTTGCCAAGATAAAGTTCAGAGACCTGTAGTTTTATGTTTCCCAAACTGCATGTTTTGAGGACTAGTGTCTCAATATAGTAGGTGGTTTTTAAAAGGATTCTGTGGGGGCTGGGGCTGTAGCTCAGTGGATGAGCA